TTTCTTTCCTTCCCTGGTCAAATACAAGGGAATTCAATATCCATGTGTACTTCTACGCATGCCAATGAACATAACTCTGCCCTATATCCTTTTTTGACCCGGATTCTAAAACACTATACCCACTCCAGTTTCCTAGAGTGGAGAAACCATGCTAAAAACAATCTTTTCAATAATGAATATAGGCTGCCATGCCCTCCTGCAGCAAGCTCTGTGAAGTCTTTATAAGGAGGTTCCTTACACTGCAAATCTCATATTGTAAAACTACGGCAGAAGTCCATGGCAGAGGATGCTCAGGAGAGCACGCAATAGCGTGACTAAATGGGTAGGAATAGATGACCTACTTTTGAAGGGATTCACTTTGGGTCAGCATTTCTATGGCGTGTTATAAGGAGACAAATAAGAGCATATTATGCTCTGACCTTACTTACCCTCCGGATCAGCGTCTTCTAGTATCACCCAGACCTTAAACACACAGTCTCTCCCAGTTGTTACCAGCATCAGAGAGTCATCTTCCATTTCATCCATGTCACGGAAGCACATCGCCGTTACGTGATCCTCATGAGGCATGCTTACTCTAGTATTCAGTCTAAAGCTGCAAATAAAGAATCAAGAAACTTCTCATTAGATAGCTGAAGTGCTACTGCATTTACAGATCCATCTTATCTAATTAGTTGCACTCCTCTACAGACAGCATCCTAGCAGCTAAAATTATTACTTCAATGAACACCAGTCTCAAACATCCAGCCTGAAATCAGGGCAACCTTTTCCTTAGTTGATCAGTCACACTTCTACTACGCGCGTCAGCATTATTTTGCTTTGTTTTCTCTTTAAGATAACTTTCAGACTAAAAAAATATTATTAAGTGAGAAGTTGGGAAATGTATGAACCAGAGGCATATTCGTGAAAGACGACCCAAAAAATTGAAGTAATTATTTCATGTAACCTAAAGGGACTGATCAATTTACAATGGACTTGAGAGGGACTGGAAAAACCAAATAGATCCATTTCATCCAGTCCACTATTTTAGTATCAAATAAATACAGGAATTAGAGCTCCCAGATAGCCTAGGCAATTATTATAAGACAATTACATTCAAAGCAAGCATTCACAATTGCAATTAATTTTGTTTATGGGTTTTTACAAATGTGTGTGACACACACGGTAATCCCTTCCTCAGGTCTTCTCAATAATGCCATCAGTTTATTTGGAAAACCTTGCCTTTTCAAGACAAGGACTGTATGGACATTTGCACGATACTTAAAATACAAACTTTGACACCCGCAGGGCCAGCTCCAATTATCATTACCTTTGTGTTTTCTCATCAAAGAGCCACAGCTTCAACTGTAACTCTAGGTCAGTTTCTTCTCTCTCTTCTACTGTTGCTAACCACTTGCCTTCAGCACTAAACGCAACTCTGGACAAGTCAGATTGGTTTCAGCCTGCTTGATGGACGTGTGCTCTTGCTGAACAATATCCAACTGCAAAACAAATCAGAGTTTCCAAGTTTGAGTGCAGATTTATAGATACCATTCACAAAACAAAGGCGAAAGGACATCCAGAAAGCACCAATTAGAACTGAGCAGGCTGTAGTATAAAAAAAATTTGGGAAAAGCAATACTATAGCACGTAAATAACACAACATTAAAAGCATATTGCATGGGAAATTACAGATTTTTTTTTAAACATTGAACTTATGAGAGGAATAGGGACGTTAGCAGGTGAAAACATCTTTCCAAACAAGGTTTACCTTACATACTCTTCTAGAATAGAAGATTCTCATAAAGGAAAAAAAAAATCTCAGGCTGGAATCCAGTGCCATAGTACAGTTAATGGCTTTTCCTTGTTTGCTATATACAGTCCTCAAAGAAATTCTCATGTATAACTCGAATTAAGAAATGAAAAGGTTAGCACAGGCCTGCCCAACTTACACTGTATAGCTGTTTGTCACTTTGGAGACAGTAGAACTGCAAGTGGCCAGGCTCTCCATTCAAGACCAAAGCTTTGGTTCTAGGATCAACCACTAGACCTGTCTTGATATCCCTGGCTGGGAATGAAAACAAGGTGAAAGTGACCTCTGATTGGAAGTGACACATTCCACACCATCAGCAGAAAATAAACTTCAGTGCACATACCTTTAACTAGCCCTGGAATGGTTTCGGAAAATCTCAGGTTGCTGTTTATTATTGTAATTCCTGAAAGGAAAAGCATATGAAGTCTTGCAAAAAGTTTCCACAAAGTAACTGTATCAATGGCGGAGAAGGGACTGTAGTTATCTCTATTTAATCCTACATACGCATATACATGTGGGATAGACATTCATCTTCTCACAATCTGTCAGACTCCTGAATCGAGATGGGAAGCTAAGCTACAAGCAGACCTCACACAAAGACCTCAGACAAATGTGCACAACTAAAGAAAAAGCAGAACACTGCTTTAAACATCCATACGCAACACCTTGCTAATTCACCCGAAAATAACGAAACAGAGCCCGTATAGATTTGCAGTAAGTGGTACTTAAAACATAGGCATACTGTTGTCTGCATGAGAGGTGCAATAGAAAGCGCCATCAGGTGAGATGGAGACGTATTCAATAGCAGATCCCAAGCGAGGAAGAAAATCCTTCTTGCAGTCTGATCCACTGTGCCACTGAACTAGAACAGATTCAACTCCTCCACTCAGCAAGCTGGTTCCTTTTCAGATCATAAACATACAGTTAGAGGTTGTAAGAATATCACCAGTTACAATGACAGACACACAGATTTCTGAAGAACATTTCTTAAAGCATCACACATGGATGAATTATTCTTCACATCTAGCCTGGGCAATACACACAGGTAGATTTCTTGTTATCCCAAGGAAAACTGACACAGAAACTTACATAAATAACAAGAACTTCTGCCTGCAATAGAACTTAAAGAAATGCTTGGCAATATTAAATTCTACCACTCGTTGAATGTGTTGAGTATTGCGTTAGCACACAGCTTGTTAGTTTTCCTTCTACAAAAAGCATTTTGCAGTAAGAAGTACACTAAGAAATGCATTCACATGAATACTAAGTGGATTTCCGCCACTAGGTTTAAGCTCAGTCAAGCCTGACTTACTTTGGACTCAGACAGACTCTGGAAAGGACTCATGAGTATTGCTGGTGAAAGAGAAGAAGGTGGTAGGCAGGGTAGAAGATATAACCGGCTCGATTTTGCATTCTGTTAAAGGACAGCGTAATGCTCTCATGGGATGATAAGAGCAGGGTGGAAAAGTCTCTGGCTACAGAAAATGAGAACAAGCCCAAACGCAGCAGCCACAGATGCAGAAGGGAACAAAAAGAGCTACTTACTTTTGGAAGGCCTCAAGTAGGCAGAGAACTCCAGCAAGAGATGCCCTCACCTCCACTGCCACCCCTTAAATGAGGGGTGGATGCCATCCCCTATGAAGGGGTGGATCCTGGCTCCTCCCCTTCCACTCACTGCAGTACATTGCATGCACCTGAGCTCCCCTGGGTTGGCCATGCCTTCCCACCAGGTGCTCGATCACTGCTTCAGACTGAGCATTTCTATTACAGGCAGCTATTTGACATTATGAATGTTAAAGTATTACAAAGAAAGTACGGCTGCTCTCACTTCTTTCAGATCCACCTTCAACATATTTAGAATACTGGAAATTAGTTTGTTAGTAAATGGATTAATTTCTCTGTTTGTAACTCTGAATCTTTTCATGATTTTTGTACTCACCTTCTACAGAAAAAGCTAGATCCAGGACTTTATCGTGATGCCAGTGCAGTGTAGAGAACGTGTACTCTTTTTTGTGGTTGAAATTCCTCCTGTGGAGAAGGAAGAGAACAGTTCTTTAAAGGTAGTCATTGACAACAGAGCAAACAAATGCTAAGAGTGAATACCATCCTTTTTTCCAATCTCCTGACTACAGTTTCATGCATGCACATGGTGCAAGAGGGAGGAATCACACCAGCAGCTTTCCTGATGCACCCTATACATCACTACCATACTTAGCAAGCTGATAATGCTTCACCACACAGTTTCCCTAGTGTGCTGTTACTAGGACTCCAGATGCCCACAACCACTAATTTAAACTGCTCTGACCTTTCCCAATACATTTTAAAATAGCAGTGTAGCTTAAAAGGAATATTTTCCCCCTTCATGTTACACTGAAGCTGTACTCTGAAGTCAACATCAGTATTACAGGAAATTACAGAGGATTTTCCATTCTTTGCTTTTTTTGATTTCTGAAAATCACAACGGTAAGAACTAACAGCTGCTCTGCTCAGGTTTCACTTAATTCCCATGGTCAGGGTACAAAAGTAAGTAGTCAAATATTCTAATCAAATAATCAAATCAAAATAAGCATACCAGAGACGACTCTTTCCATCAGCATGGCCAGTTGCAATACAATCCTCCTGAGGACGGCAGGCTACACAAGTAAAGACATCGTTTCCACCTTTTGTATTTGTTGCTCTCAGAGAAAACCTTCAGAAGTTAGGAAAACAACAACTTCAGTTACACAAGGTTTTTTTCCTTTTTTAAAAACAAAGCTTCCAAAGGACCAACTGATGCACAAATGCACATAAAAATAATTCTGAGTAACAAAATTAAGCGCCTACAAGTTGTTATAAACCAACATATGTACTAAAAAAAAAAATTAGTGACAAGTTTTTTTTACTTTATCAGATCTCCATACTCAATCAAGCTGCAAGCCTTTTATGGGTTCCACCCTCTCTGCCTACTTCTCCTTGGCCAAACCATCACTTGTTTCAGCCCAACATCAACTTAAATATTTACATACATACTCCTCACATGCACCTCACCAGTGAACGTGAATGTTATTACATCAGATTGAAGCAATACTTGTGTAACTATCACAAAAATCAACACGATGAAAAGGTGATACAGGAAGCACAATGACAAAGGAATTAACGTGACAGAAAGACGCTACCAACAAAGAAAAGAGAACTCACCCATCACTAAAAACCCAGGCTCACAGAGGACAACTCCACAAAGAAGAGAACTCCAGAAAGAGATCCTTCTCCAGTGGCAGTCAACCCTTAAGTGAGGTCTAAGAGGTGCAGCCAGGCTCCCCCCCTTCCGGTCACACAGCTGAATTGCCTTCACCTGTGCACCCAATGCTGACTCAGTCCTTTCCGCAGGTGCTCAATCAGTGGTTCAGGCCATGACTCAACAGTTACCATACAACTTGGCATCTTCATTCTTACCTGTTCAATTGCTTCTGTTTCAAGAAGTAAACTTGGAGAGTAACATCTTTAACGGATGCCACATATTCACCCTGTTACAATAAAACATTATTCAAGAAGTTAGAACATACAGATTGTGTACTCACGTGTGAAAAAAAAAGAGAAAATCGTGTTTCACTACAAAGTACTTAAAAATGGAGACAACATAGAAGCTGATGTTAAACAAATTGTTTCCTGTTATAAATTGTTTTTTTTTCCTTTAAAGAAAACATAGTACTTACAGATTACAAAATCATTTGTTTTGTCAAATGGAGCTTAAAAAGCTTAGGCAGAAATCAGAGCATGCAAATAACAGAATAGGGCCAAGGAAAGGTTCATGAAATTATTATTAAAAAAAAAAAAAAAATTGGATTAATGAGTCTGAAGTTCTGCTGTACTTCTATAAACACATAAATGTATATAGGTTACTTGAAAAGTAAAGAAAGAAGCCAATCCTCTCAGAAGAGGATATACCTCTCTTCCAAATGCAGTACACTTTGGGGACGCATCCACACCCTCCAAAACCACAGACAATTCCTTGGCTTCCATGTCTTGGCCTGCTGCTTTTGTCAGCTTAACTGAGACCAGTTGGAACGTATCTGGCCAAAGGAAAATCTGTTCTCCAAAGACTTCTACGTACAAGTTGATGCATGTTCACTATAAAGCAGATTCACAACCGTTATACTGTAACACATGAGTACATTCAGTGTTTTTGAACAGAATACTTTTTCAAAAAATAATTGTGTTGGATATTCTAATTCAAACAACAGTGTTGAAGTTCAAGGTCAGAATAGTGGATTCTGGTGCAGCTGTGAGCAGGAAGCAAGAAACACTGCATAACACGCTCTGAAGTGACATCTGCAGAAACAGAGTGAGACCAAGGTACGTTTATGTTTATTTCAGGAAGATCCCAGGAAAAAACTATCCACATACGCTGTTAAATTGAGAGAGGAGTCTCGAATACTGTGTGTACGTACTGCCACAGTAAGGACTGTGTAAACATTTGCCACATCTCCAATGTTCTGCTGTTCACAGAACATCAAGACTAATACACAAAAGCACATGACATCAGACCGCTCAGCCAGGTGCCACAGCTCAGGCTGACAGCAGCACTGTAAGGATGAACCAAAGCACACCATAACTCTTGCATCCCGCTTTGGAATGATAACAAACACAGAGTCCTCAGCAGCAGGCAGCGCCTACAGCGCGAGCAGCCGATGTCCTACAGTGAACGTCTGCGGGAGAAACACAAGTCCAACAATTCCTACGCAAGAGCACATCATCTTCTACAGACCAAGAATAACGCTGATATTTACTCAACAGGAACAGCTCAACGTACTTTAATGAGAATCCCATCTGTGAAGTCCCACAGCTTAATGGTGCCGTCAAGGGAGGAAGAATACAGCTGAAAAAAAACCAACCCAAGTTACAGCAATACGCCAAAGTCAGACTTTACATCAAATCCCCACTTCGCGCTGAAGCACCGATCAACGCACTGAGATTAGACGCGGCTGAACCACCGCAAACACAGAACACGAAAAGCTCCGAGCCGCCATCGCAAAGCGCTCCTGCCCGCACAGCGGCACGGCCCCGCACGGCCCCCCTCCCGAGCGCTACCCCGCTGCCGGCCCGGCCCACCTGCAGATGGTTGTGCGGGGCGAGCTGCACGCTCGTCACCAGGTCGCCGTGGCCTCGCAGCAGCCGCACCAGCTCCTCGGTGGCCACGCTGTACATCTTCACGAAGTCGCCGGAGGCGCACAGCAGGAACCTGAGAGGAAGGAAAGCCGTCAGCGTCTCGCGGGGTCGCTCCGACCCGGAGTCCGGCCCGCCGCTTGCCTGGCACCGACGGAGAAGACGGCCCGGGCGCCGTGCAGGGCGCTGCCGCCGCATCGCACCACGCGGAGCGCCGCCGGCGCCACCATCTTCCTCGAGCGGAACCGCGCGGCCGCCCTTCCGCCGCCGAGCTCCGCCCGCTGCGCGCACAGCCCTGCCGCGTGCGCGGCGCCCCTTCACGGCCGTGTGCGCGTGAGGGACAGCGGGGCGGGCTCGGCGCCCTCAGCAGTCCCGCGCGAGAGGCGCGTTCGCGCTGAGGGACGAGGTGAGCGGGGCTGGCGCGTCGTGCGCGGCCGTCCGGGATGCCGCTGTTGCAGATCTCTGGTGAGCGTTTAGTCGGTTGTTAAACAGCCCGAGGTAAAGTAACGTGTGCGCTCGAACTGGAACGCGGGAAGTTCCGCACCAACACAAAGAAGGACTTTGTTGTCCGGGAGCGAGCTGCCCACAGGCCTGGGTCCCTTCTCTGGAGATATTCAGGCCCGCCTGCGAGCTGCTGCAGCAGGCGATGCACGGGGTGATCCCGGAGCTCCCTTCTCTCTGACCCCGACTGTGCTGTGACTCTGTCACGTTTTTATTAATAAACGTGTGCAACAGCAATATAACCCCATCACTTTATGACGTTAGTCATAAGCTCCAAAGATCTTGAGTAATAGACTACACGGAGCTCCCAAAACCCGTTAAGCTGAGGTGATAAATAGCAGGCGGTGGCACAAGCAGGTCAGGGCAGTGCACGGTCAGAGCAGCCCTGTATGTGGGACACATTACTTAACAGTTAGCATGACTACATACAAAAATCTGCTATCAGAACTTCCACATGCTGTGGAAACGATGTCAACAGTGACTGTGTTACCTTCGGAATGGTGAAGGGTGACCAACTTGGACTAGAGGAATTGGGAGCCCTACACTGAAAGCAGGGACTGCGCCCTGGGAGCCCACGTTCCGTACCAGTGGCTCAGTGCTGCTGTCATTCCTCCTATCCCATGCTTTTTTGTTTTTTACTCCTTTCTCCTGTTTTCACACTTTGAACTGATATTTCCCATCTCCTTGGAAGTCTTCCTGCTACCACGCTGTGAATCAAGCAATCTGATCCTGAAAGCCTCACCTCTGAAATTAAAACAGACGGTTGTGTACGGTACCTGTGGTCAGGTCTCACTTCGTGAAACCACTGATAATATTTTCCCAAAGTTTCCATATTAAAAAAAAATAAAAAGTGAAGATTGTTGTGTTCCAAGTCCAAGTGGTTGCCTTCAGTTCTCTGGTAGTCCTGGAAAGTGTTTTTAGTGTGTTTTTGTTAAATCTATGGCATCTGGCTTTTTCGTTCAGTCTCATAAAGTGTTTCTCTTTTTTTGGTTTTTTTTTTAAAAGAGGCCAAAACCTGGGCTAAGCACACAGACTGATGAATTTAAACAGACACAAGCAGAACAGCTCCTTAGAATTTTGGGGAGACTTGGGGAGTGAGAGTTACCAGGATGTATCTGGGTTGTGGTTTTCAAAGGAGCAAGGAGCAAAAGCAGTCTCAGCTGTTGACCGTTCTAATTTGTGTTCATGTGGCTGAGGTGTGGCCTTTGTGTGGTTCTCTCATTTGTTCAGATTTACATCGAGAATATAAAATTTGTAGGCGCATCTGCACAAAGCCAAAGGCATTTGCTAATGTTTCTTCTACAATTACATCTTGGTCCTGTTAGGGACTGCAGTGCTTTCAGCAGGTTGCTTAGTTAGGAGGAGCGGCGACTTCCAGAATCAAGTGCTACAAGGTAGATCATTTTATGATATGCACTGCAGTGAATCGGGAGAAGAGTTGAGACAGTAAATAGCCATTTGCATTTAGAATGCCTTGCAGAACTTCATGAGAAATGTTCCAAAAACCAACTGGAGAAAATGAATTTGTTCTTCAAGTCTACATGTTGTATGGGAAAGTAATTGTATTTCTTTCTCAACTTACATGAAAACCCATCCAGGCAAAAGCACATACTAAACAGATAAAGCTCGTTTGCTTTACCTACTGAGTCTAGATTGTGTATTTGTTGCTTGCAAACTCGCTGCATCAATGCCAAAACCCATGTTAACAGTACAGTGGACAACCCTGACTTTGGGCAGCAGAATGAAGTTGCTCAAGGCAACCACTGCACCATTTCAATGCAAGAAGTGAGTAATACAATTAAGGGCAAAAGCTTTTGACATAATAATTTTGCACTCCAGCTACTATTCAGCAGGTTTGCTTTTTTGAAAACTTCCTTCATTTCAGTCATGCAGCTTAACAGGATGGCTAGTTTTGTGCCTTGCTTAAGAACACTGAGAACACTTGTGGCTACAAAAAGCTCCCTGCTTGTAGCCTGCATGCTGCTTTTCAGTTTGAGCATGAAGGTCAGGTAGTCAGCACACTTCAGAACACGACACACTGTTCTTAAACTACACAGTGGGTCTTAGCTCTCTTATTGTCATAAATCAAGATCATAGGATGATAGACGTAACATTGACTGGTCTTCTATGCTTTTTTTGTACTAGTTCAAGGACTGGAAGGAGTAAAAGAGAATCTTACACTTGGCAGTCTTCATTATGGCCCCCTCCTTGGAAGCATCCAAGGCCAGGCTGGATGGGGCTGTGAGCAGCCTGGTCTGGAGGGACGCATCCCTGCCTGGAGCAGGAGGTTGCAACCAGATCATCTTCAGATCATCTTGAAAGATCTCTTCCAACCCAAATCATCCTATGGTTCTAGGATTATCTCTTATAATTGCATTATTAAGGTGGAGAGGCCTAATTCCTTTGTTGTGTTGTATGAAAACTAGAACTTCATTGCCTTCTGAAAGAAAATAGAACACGACCGATCAGAGTTAAATGTAGAATAGGAGTATGTGATGTTCTACAAAGCTCCTTCAGTGGGGTAAATCAGTAGTTTTTAATTGGGAGGAAGAGATTTCAGATAAGATCATGATCTTTCTATCTGTGCTTCAGGACTGCTAGGAACACTAGAGGGTGCTACAAGAATAACCACATTTTTATGAAGTGAGTATTTAAAGCTAGGAAAGCAGAACTGAGTTGGGATGTCCCACAGGGACCTCTGTACTAGTGCAGCCTTTGCACGTGTTTTTTTATTTATTAAGAGAAGAGCAAATAAATGCCTCATGGCACAGGACACAACATCAAGCTACTTACAAGTTTTTTTTCCATGGCAGTATAGAATCACGTAGACTCCTGTTTTTTTCCTTCAAGAACTTTCATTTTGAGACAACTTATGAACTGATAGACTAACCTAGCACATGATAAACAAACAAACAAAAAAGATAAACCTTAGACAACAAAGTTTAAATTAGATGAATTTAAATCATTATAAAACAATTTTTAAAGCAACTACAATGGGATGCTAATAAGAGAATAGTAAAGACTGCAGGTCTAGGAAAACAAAAAGAGCCCAGGTACAGCATCAGTAGAAACAACAGAAAAGAGCTACTTACTTTTAAAAAGCAACGAGCAGGACACGGGGTAATGGCTGCAAGTTGTATCAGAGGAGGTTGAGATTAGATGTAAGAAAGAACTTGTTTTTTCAGAGTGGTCAGGCACTGGAATGGCTGCCCAGGGAGGTGGTGGAGTCGCTGTCCCTGGCAGTGTTCAACACGCGTCTGGATGACGTGCTGCGTGACAGGGTTTAGTGCTTGTGGTGGCAATGGTGATGAGGAGACGGTTGGACTGGATGATCTTGTAGGTAGTTTGCAACC